CCTCCCTCCCCCCAAGAAAGCAAGTCAAATGAACAAGCACTAAGATGATACTGATAACCCCATATGCCCAAAATGTGACGAGCGCATGATTCCACCACGTCGTGACACATAGAATTACTCTTTTGTTCGCTTGTCTTTCTTCTGAACCCAGATTTTCTTTTTTTCCTATTAGTTATCTTCCGTTCAGTTAAAATGAACCGTCTATTCTTGCTCCTGTCAGTACTCTAGTTTGTACATTTTAGCTATCTTATACACGCACCACGGTCTTCTTTTGTGATCATATTTCAATACAGTCTTCCTATTAAGGCTAAGGTCACTTCGATTGACTCGAGAGATGGCGCGGAACTTCATTAACTGAACTGATTATGAGGGAAATTACACTGGCTTTAGGTTTCAAGCTTGATTCCTATCTGAGGCATATGCCTGGAGCCATTTTGTAAAGATCTGATACACTTTTGAATGAGGAGTCCTGTCGAGTCTGAAGCTTGTTTTTTAATCAAAAAATGTCCTTTGAAAAAATCCCCCGTTGTCCCGTTCACGTAGAGGTACTTTGCTCGTATACTTTTATAGAAGTTATGTTTAGAATGAATGCTGGAATCCGGCAACTTTTTGCTACTTTGGCCGAATTTCTAGATTTGTTCGTATTGTTGTGGGTGGTTGGCAGGTGTTCTGGTGTGGTTTGCGTCTTCTTTCCTATCGAACATCTATCATCCATCTCTCTCTCAATGTTTGTTTGTGTTTGTTACTCTCTTATAACACCTCTAATCCTCGGCATTTATAAGACCTTATTGTGTTGCAAGGAGCGTAAACTTTTACTAAAACTAAAATATGCGTTTTTGCTTTGCTTTTTCATGGTTTTATCAATAGTATTGTCTGTTCAATTCGTAAGGACGAAAGTGTGTACACTTATGAAAACTTGGACTGTTTGTGCCCAGGAGATTTTTGCTCTACTAAATGGAAGTGTTGGAATTGGTCACTTTGAAACACAAGGGGGCTATCCCGAAAAATACTGTTTTGAGAAATTAGAAGGTAAAGTTTTATGGGCCTTGTGAAGTTTCTTTAAAAGACGTGGAGAGTTTTCTCTATAACCAAACAAATATACACATCAATGAAACCAAACTTCTCCTATAGGTAGGGCAATGTCCACTTTTGGTGTAGGTCAAGATTTCTGGGAATCCCCGGAATCTGGATAGGCCGCTTGTATTTAAAAGCGACCAATTGTGAAACACACACACATTGTTATTAGAGGAAGAATTTAATAGACGTTTACCCCTCCCTTTTGTCCGCACTTGTTGCTGTAGCGGGATGATGGATGCTTTTGTGGTGTCACTTACGCTTAAATAAAAGCAAACACACACTTACACACATGTATACACACACACATACACACATACATACACATGTACACACACTTACACATATACAGACACATACACACTCACACATACGCTTACACAGAAAGAGAGAGAGACTGAGAGAGAGAGAGAGAGAGAGAGAGAGAGAGAGAGAGAGAGAGAGAGAGAGAGAGAGAGTCTGGAGGATGCTGCTAAGGTTGGTTTTGTGTGTGTGTGTGTGTGGGGCGGGGGGAGCAGTGATGGTGTGAGGGGAAGGAAGTAGAGAGACAGAGAAGGGGGAGTAGAGAAAAAGGAGGAGGAGGAAGAAGAAAGAGATGAAGGAATATGAGAGAGAGAGAGAGGGTGGAAGAGGAGGGAATTAAGAGAGAGAGGGGGGGCGAGGACGAGAGGAGGAAGCAGAGAGAGACTGAGAAAGAGGGAGAAGGAAGAGGAAGTAGAGAGACAGGGGGGAGTAGAGAAAGAGGAAGAAGGAAAAAGGGACAGAGGAAGTTGAGTGAGGGAGAAGGAGGAGGAAGTAGAGAGCGGCAGAGGAAGATGAGAGAGGGAGGAGGAAGAGAAAGTAGAGAGACAGAGAAGCAGTAGGGCGACAGCAGAAAGCAGGGAGAAGAGAAAGAGGAGGAGCGAGAGAGAACCGGAATTTCTCACATGGAAATCAGTATGGTGTAATTTGTTTTATTAAATGACCATTACCATATGTGATGCAGCGTGGTGGAATCAGGCTCTCGTCAATTTTTGTGCGTGTAGAGTTATTGGTATCATCTTAAAGCTTGTTCACTTGTCTTTATTTGGACGAAAAAAAATGTCCCTTTATCTTGAATACAAGTTGAGATATTTGCAAAAGAAGGAAGTGGGGGTCACCTGTTTTCAGAGGAAAAATTAGTGAGAAAAAGGCCCCCAAAGATTGGTTATTTCCTTAGCTTAAGAGTCCGTGGTAACTGAAAATTTCCATTTAATCAACGTTTTTCAGAAAAATCAAAACAGAAATGAGTTCCTTAATAGACATGAAAGGTGTTGAGCCAAAAAACAAAAATTTGATAAAAATTCACAAACCTGAGTTCCTTCACTTTCATTATTTTGACGAGAGCCTGATTCCACCACGCTGCATCACATATT